GCACAGGACTTTCTTGCTCACCTCAATCCGTTCTACGTTCTCACCAAGGGTCATCATGGGACTTCGGGACACCCTGTATATATATATATATAAGCATTTGTTCTGCATTGGCGTCGCAAAGTCTAAATCCATATATATTTATGCCAGCTAATCCGCTGGTCACGTGACCAAGTTGGCGATTCTCTGTACTAGAGGTTCTTTAAAGTCAGCGGCACACGATGCTTGTTTTCGTGCTGGATTGCTTGCTGGATGGAAATACTCTATTCTGATTGGTGCGTCTTCAGAAATGCACCAATCAGAACAGAGTATTTCCATCCAGCAAGCAATCCAGCATGAAAACAAGCATCGTGTGCCGCTGGCCTAACAAACATCATTCTATCTTTGTTCCACATTTAGTGAGTAACAAAGATAGGATGATACATGTGTCGACTTGTGTCTCTTGTTGGAAAGCAACCAGAATAGATCTCTAGAGATTGTGAACTAGCCCTTATGTCCATTTTTGCCAACTTTAGTTAACTTTGGTTACTAGCTGATTATTCCAACGAAATTGACCAATCGTATCTATCAATTCTGATTAACAAAAAATGAGATAGGTCAGTTTCGTTGGAATAATAGGAGCGGTGCACTTGGACACGGTGCATTTGGACACAGCCAATCACAGCACCGTGTGATTAGAGACATTTGTAGGGTCCCTTGGAACAGCGACTTGTGATTGAACTGTGTCCAATTGCCTCGTGTCCAACTGATATACACCCGGAATAATTAGTTGATAAAATTTTTAAAAAAGTTAGTAGAAAAGTTAATAGAAAACGAGCATTAAAAGTATGTTTTAAAGATTAAACAAATTTTTTATCCTGGAATAATTTATGATTTTCTATAATTTTGGAAATCAATTGTTTCTTAAAGTAACTTTTATCGAATTACAATTAAATTGATAAGTAAACGACTAGTCAGTAAATAAACGTTAAAATTGTTAACAACAATTTCCAACTATAATCTGACGTCCAGCAATAAGTAATAAATTAATAATATCTATTTTAACAAAATATAAAAATAATACTTGACTGAGATGGATAGCGATTTTAAATCTCCAATTAGATTAATCAGTGTTTCTTGAAATTACCTGTAGCGCTATTACTAAAAATTAATTTGGTTTGAGTTGTAATTATGCAATTCTGTTTAAATAAGTCTAGAAGTATATTCTTTTACACTGCATGATTTCTATTTTCAAAATTGTCTTTTTTTATAAATACTAATGTTATATCGAAAAGGAAGTGCTATAGTCAGTTAATAGGAACGAACTTATAGTATATATATATATATATATGTGTGTCGCATGTCTATATACCTTATCTGTGTCGTGTAGTATGCATAGACGCATTTTTACAAAGCGACTGCGTTTTACGTAAACAATATAAATGTACTTGCGATACGAAGATTGATATCAAGTGCAACGATCTTTCAGCGTGGGAATATTTGTCATTTGTGCAAGATTTCTTGTCTTACATCACTGCACAATGAAAATAATGTCGTCGTGAAGAGCTCACGACAAAATAGGAGCGCCAGTCTTTTCGAGTGTGAATTGTATGTTCTTCGATAGTTTCAATTGCACATCATAGTGCTCCGAGTACATTGATAAACGTTGTTTCGGCATCCTACTTATGTGTGATTTTTGCAGGTAACAAAACTTTGATCTTCCCGGTAAGTCCCGATAAATCCAGGTTGTCCAAGTGCAATAAGAGGTTAGGGAAAGAATATCGTTATAAATACGTCACTTGTGACAAGTATTAGTTAAGACGTCGTGGCAGCATCAAAGGTACGTGGAAAAAATGATTTTCGCCGTTTTGAGATCGCAAATCCTTAAAAATCAGTCGGGAACTCGAGAGAGAGCTCTTATTAGCTGAATCAATGCAGAGATGTGCATTTTTTATGGTGTTGCACGCAAATACCCTTTGTTAGACTGCCAAAGACTGTTTGGTGCCAATCTATACTTGAACTTGAAATTTATCAAGACGATATCGAGATATCACGATAGAAAGTGTAATGAATTACCGTGGTTTTGGACGAGGAAGGGGCTTTGGGCCACAAGGTGCACGTGCCAAAGGCCCATTTGCAAGACCCTGTTTCCCACCCTTCCGACATGTAGGTCCACCAAGACCAGGATGTCCTGGGCCATTTATGCCCAGGAATCCAAACAACTTTTTTCAGCCTCATTTACGCGGTAATCCGCAATTTAGACCGCGTGGCAGAGGAAGAAAGTTTTATAATTATGATGATCATTTTGCTGGTTTGAATAAACAACCTACAAACCCAGAATGTGAGGAAAATGTTATGCCACCATTAGCACCACCGCTATTACCATCAAATAGCCAAAAAGTAGAGAATGAAATTGATTGTATGCCACAACTTTTGCCTGATTCTGAGAAAGAGCAGCAACAGAATACGATGGAGACAGATCAGTTGCAGCAAAATCCATGTTTTAACAATAGTGAGGATTGGCATCACGATGTATCATTTTCATCTGATGCTGTAGAGAATGGTGGTGTAGAGAATGAAGATTCTTTTGAGCTTAATAATGAACCACCTGAGCTCCATGCAATATGCAGTGATGCAGAAGACATTGACAGAATAAACACTAACAATTCAGAGCTTGACACTTTACAAGATATGACGGATGAATTTAATGTTACAAGTAATATAAATAATGATGTAATATTAGGAGGAGATGAAATAGGATGTCAACTTGAAGTGATGTCTAGCCATGAAATGACAGAATTGGAAAACGTATCATATGATAACGAGAATATAGAAACAGAGAGATTTCACGATGCAGGTGATATTTCTTACAATTTAGAACAATCAGATCCATGTGAAGATGTGAATAATTTCGAAGATGAACTATTACAAGCAGATCTCCAAGGTCAGTATGACACAGCTGAAGATAACATTATACAAGATCAGTGTGATCAACAGCAAGACATGTCTGAAGAAATTGAGACACATCTAGAAGCAAATGCTGCACAAGAGCAAGACATGTCAGAGGTGCCAATTTTACAGGATATGTCAGCACCATATAATTCGGATGATCAGGATATTCTGCAAGAAAATATATCACAAAGTGAAGAGGAACCTATTGCAAATTTAGAAGTTGAAGAAACTATCTCGAGTCTTAATGTTCATACACAAAATTCAAACAACAATAATTGTCCACTGTCACAATCTGGTCCAGCTGATACACCAATATTAAATAATCCAACATTACATAATCAACGCTGCTTGTCACGAGTACAGGAAAGTTCATTTCACAGTGGACCACCAAAATTGTCTCCACATATGGAATTGCAATTACCTATTGATTTTGACCCGAGCACTCCGCCACCGATACTTTTGAAGCAAGAACAACCACCTAATTTGCCGCCATTTCATTACAATTTGCCTCCAATGTTCAATCCTGCGGAACCACCACCAAATATGAGGCATTTTGTAGTAAATGTTCCACCAAATATTCCATCACATGTTCCGCCAAATGTTCCACCAAATGTTCCACCACATGTTCCGCCAAATGTTCCACCAAATGTTCCGCCATGGAATATGAATGAAAATCAGATACCTGGTCCTTTCAACAATATGGAAGTACACAGGGATATAAATATACCTGCAGCATGTACGTCGCAACAATTATCGTTAGAAATGTCCAGTCAAAGTAACGTCTTTCTTCCACCTCATCTTGATTCAATTAATTATGCTCCAATGTTTCCTTTGCCAATGTCAAGCGGTCATCCTGGTATTAAAACAAATATTCTACCGCCAGTGTCTCATATACAGCAAGTACCCCATAATGCGTACCTGCCTTCAGTTTCAGAAATCCTGCCGTTCTCTGACTCAAATCTGAATACAAGCCAAGATGATGGATTGAGCGATATAGAGGAAGCTATGAAGTTTGCTAAACAAATGACAAATATGATAGAAAAGAATGAAGAAAATTCTAATTTAATTACATTTATTGAGGAGGGAGATCCTTGCCTCTCTATATCCTTACCTCCAGGAAAGCCACGAGTCAAAAGTAAAAAACCAAGGAAGGAAAAACAAGATGATGAATGCAAAAATATAGTGCTTGAGGAACAAATAACATTGTCGGAAGAAATGATACAAGATGCAGGTTTGAAATCTAAGGAGGAGTCGCTGATGAATGAACAAGAACGTCCTAAAGTAATATTTAACTTAAATAATAAAATGATAAAAGTAAATACTAATTGGGAACCAAACACTAGCAAAACAAAAGGCCAGAAAAGAAGTAGCAAAACACGCAATGAAAGAATGAAAGACAGAATGTTACAAAAAGAATTACAGATTATTGCGCAGACGAAAGAAGCATGTGCAGTCTCCCCAGTACGTAGTAATAAAGTGGAAAATACTTTGAAGAAGAATAAAGAAGGAGGACAGATCTCGACGAAAGATAGAAGTAACTTAGAGAACACATTGTCACCCGTAAGAAAGCTAGAAAGAAGTGTAGAAAAATCTCCGCGTACCATTACTTTGTCTCATGAAGTACAGAAATCAATTCGAAGTCATATAGAGAAATTGGGGAATGCCAGCACAGTGGCTTCTTGGAAAAACAAGATTGTAAATCGATTCCTGAAAATGAGTAAGAACGAGATTTACAATATGGTGAATAATACTAGTCTGCGGAAATTTGATGTAATAATGAAGCGTCTAGTCAGAGAGAAGAGGTCTATGTTATCCTTGGAGATGAGACATGCGCAAGACGAGAAACTGAAGCAGTACGATCAGCAGGAGTTTATGAAACAGTTGAATGCGATGCTGGAACCGGGAGCCACGGTGGGTATCACGGACTTGCCCACAGAGTTCATTCACCATTTGAATGAAGTGTTACAACTGGATATACCACTGGGCAATAACGAGGAGTTGGCGACAACTTCGATTGACAATCGACAAGACGACCATTTAGAAGGTACGAGTAATGTTACAAAACCTATAATATCAATTACTGAGTGTGCGAATAAAACAGCAACTTTAAGTGACGTTGTCGATCAAGAATGCGTAAAAAGCTGTATGCTAAAAGTGAGTCATGACAAAGATACTCAGTCACACAGTACTAAGGTTAACGAATTTATTGCAAAAGACGACACTCATAGCACGAAATCTAATAAATCTAATGCTAGTAGTAGATTATCGGCTTTACAACACGATCTGGATGATATATTTTCAGAGGTGACAAGGAAAAATCAAACTCCGACGGCAGCAGCGCGTAAAGATTGTAGCGTGAAGCTGCGAAGGACGAAGAAATCGAATGATAATGAGATTTTGAAGAGCATGCACAAAGAAGCGTCGTGGGAAGAGGACAGAGCACGCAGGACGGAGAATTGTGTACGTTGGATCGAGAAGTGCGACAAGTGGAAGATGAAGGAGCAGGAGGATCCGCTTGCATATAGAAATCTCACCAAAGAAGAATGGGAAGCGAAATATGGAGTGCCAGCGATTTCTGTAGAACAACCTTCTACTGCTATTTCGATTACAACTATTATTACTACTACTACTACTACTATTCCTACTACTGCTATTTCTATTCCTACTATTCCTATTGCGCTTTCTACTGCTTTAAAACAGGCCAGTGTTAGCGACGACAGGGTTTCACCGAACATAATGCCCACGAAAGATTTATATCCACGACGTCGTCATTCGTCCGAATCCTCGAAGCATTCATATGCGAAACATAAAAACGCAGAAAGTAACAAGCATAAACGATCTAGGCGGCACAGCGACGAAAGGAAACAAACCGCGGGACACCTGGAAAATAGCGAACGTAATAATAAGAGCAGAAGTAGCAGCAGTAGCAGCAGCAGCAGCAGTAGCAGCAGCAGCAAAAGTAGTAGCGATAGTGATAATACAAACACAAACGTTACCAAGTTACTGAGAGTGATCAAAGAGAAGGAAAAGGTGGCCAAACAAATGTCACTGAACGAGACAATCAGGGACGAAGTGAACGCCGAGATAGAGCGGGAGCGAAAGCAGAAGTCAAAGAAATCGCGGAAAAGTCGTAAAACCGGTAAATCGCGAAAAGAGAAAAGGACACGCCACAAGAAGAGTAAAAAGCAAAGAAAGAAGTTAAGTTCTTCGGAATCGACCTCGCAGGAAGAAAACAACGAAGAAGAAATGAAGAAATTGCTGACAGAAAATGAAATTAAGAAAGAAGTGGAAGATGAAGATATTGTGAAAAAGGTAGTCGTTAAAAAGGAAGACAACTTCGGCCAAGAAGCCGGATATAATGTCACGTGCTCTGAGTTTGCAAGTACCTCGAGTCATCGTGCGACGGCGAAAAATACAAGTACATCTTTGTCTGCTGAAACTCATAGTAGATCGGAATCTGCATCATCAACAAGAGAGATGGCAACAGCAGCTGTCGATAGCATACAATCCTACATCGAAGATACAACAGTGACAGCTTCACCGTCACAACTGAAAACGAAGGCGCAACTGAAACAAATGCCAGAAGTGACTAATGCGATTGATAAAGTTTCCCTGACCGGCATAACTGACGATAGCAGAATGACTGATGTCGCGAAATATCCTGAGAATTCGAAGAAGCATCATCAAGCAACCAACATCATTTACAGCAAAAGTGTATCCGAATTCTCATCAGCGACTAATTATTCGGCAAAGCGTAGCGATGCGGCTGATAACACCGCCGATAACATGGCCGTGCAAACGCCGTGCAGGGAAACTAATGAGAATCCATTGCAATTAGATGCGACAGCATGCACTTCCGTCGAATCGCTCGAGAACACTATAAATACAGCAGGTGATAAAGAAGTCTCATCTTCCCCTGACATATCAAGTAAAATATCGACGTCAGCATCGTCAGTGTCAAGTATCCCGATAGCGAGTACTGCAACTCAGAAGCAAGGAACCAGCAAGAAGATCGACATAAAAACCTATTATGAACGCACGATGCAACGTCGTATAAACAAGCAGAGCGAGCCGAAAAAATCAGTTGAAAGTCCTACGGCGCCGCAAGTTACAACATCTGTACCGAAAGCCACAGAGCCCAGCGTAAAGATCAACAGATCTGTATCAAGTTCCATTAAAGATCCACGACTAATTTACTCAAATAAATCGGTCACTGCTCCGTGTACACCGGCTAATAAAGACAATACCGCACACGTAATAGCGGCAAAAGGTGTTCAGCTAGAAGCACAACAAACGACGGAGCAGGTTTCTCCGAATCGTGAAAGTCCAAATTATCAGACGAGTGAGAAATCTCAAGTTGCTGGGTCGGCGTTGAAACATCCTGATGACAGTGTCGTCAAGAAAATTAATAAACCTAGATTAAAGGATGGAAAATCGCACACTGCTGACATGGATATTAATACCCCGTTAAATGTTGCGACTGCATCTACATCTACATCTACATCGTCGAAATCCAAGAAGCATCCGGAGGTTGAGAAAAATTTGGCAGATAAGAAACTACAAAGCACAGTTCCATCTGATTCAAAAAAATTCAAGCATATTCGATCCGAAGGCAGCAAAGAGTTGAAACTGAAGAAGGAAATGATGAAGACGCAAAAAATAAAGAAGCCCAAGCCGGCGTCAAAATCGACGAACTTAGTTTCGACAATGGAGTATCATTCAAAGACAGAAACAGAGAATGCGACGACGCAGAAGCAGACAACGCAGAAAGAGGATGATAATGTCAATGATAAAAATAAAGTAAATAAAGTAGAGATTGAACAGGCTACAGGATCAGCAGGTTCTTGTGCAAGTAAAGTAAGTCACGACAACACGGAAACGGAATCAGCCAAATTTTCTTTAGAGAACACCGACAGTGATAACGGTGAGAAACTACCGCGTGATGTTGACGAAGCAGAGAAACATTCTTCCAACTCGGAACTTAATGAATCGAGAGATGCTAAAGAAGATATTACTGACATCGCGAACACTGATGCGCCAAAACACTTATCGTCTCAGATAGCGCAAGATGAAGAAGCGTGTAACATAAGCATGAGTGCAAACGATACAACGAGTGTCGAAATTACAAATAAAGATGTCCATGGCGTCAAAAAAGTTACTAACGACGTGTCCGAATCGACGGCACTTGAAATTTGTTCTCAAATTGAAGTCTCGGGCGATATTAGAGAAACAAACAAAGAGAATTTATCGAGTGAGATTCAAGGGCCTAATGTGATAAAAGATACAGAATTTACATTGAATCAAATGAATGAAATTAGAGGTGACAAATTCGACAAACGGAATTTGTTAGAAAATATAGGCAATCCAGCCCCGACCGAGGAGCGCGATACAAGCGGCATTCCCGAGTCGGATATGATTTCTCAATTAGAGCGTGCTGAAGGTAAGAAATATCAGCTGTTGACAGATACATGTACAATAGATAATATTGACATTAGTGGTATTAATGAAAACAATGTGAGGTCAGATGTTACAAGCAGCGTGGGCAAAGCTGCGACTGCGGGCGAAGATGTTTCTCTATTCGGGAAAACCATTCAGCTAGCAACGGCTTCAAATGAAAATCCCGAAGAGCAAAAAATGACTGAGCAAAATATTACTTCCCCTGATAGCGTAGGTAGTCCGTTCAAAGGATTTCTTCAGGAGTCCATCATATCTTTCGAGCCTCCGTTGTTCGCTTTCGACATAGACGAGATAAATGCCGGTAAGGAGGACGAGTTACTCTTAGATCACTTTAACGCAAATTATGTAACAGATACCGACACTCTCGAGGAAACGAAGATTAATACAAAGCGACAGAATCATGAGACAGTGGTATCTGTCACTAATTTTGCCACTGATACGAACATTAATATTGAAAACTTTAATATCATCGTTGGCGATGTTTTGTATGCTTCAGATAAAGAATTCGTGGCAGACGAGAGCAGCGGTAACACCGAGTCGATGGCGAAGGAGGGCAGTGGAAGAAAGCACGCGGAGAAACGTTCTTCGAACGAAGCACTCAAAGGTACATTGCACAAGAATAAAGTCAACGCCAGGGAGAGTAATGAAACCGAGAAGCAGTTGATAAACGAAGACAGATACGCGACGGAACTAGCTGTGGAAGAATCCGTGTTTATCAACGAGGAGGAAATTCAGGGCGAAGATAAGGCGAAAGATCTGGCGAGTAAACTCACGAGCACAACCGACCCCAGCTTGTCCGATGCGCTAGACACGGCAGCCTCGGACGAGGCGCTGAGATTACCGGAGATTGCGAGCTCGGAGAATGTTAATAACCAGATATATCTCGAGACGAGCATTTCCGAAAAGATCTCGTGCGATAAGTTACCGAGTTTCGGTGCAGACGAGCAGTTGGACAACGATATGTTTTATTTAGATGATCGTTTGCAGGACACTACCGCGTTCGATAACAAGGACGACGCGTCGGTTCATTTCTCCGATCATCAACAGAGTCTTCAGTACGATATTATGCCGGCAATCACTGCCGAAACAACGATCGCGCCTTGCTCTGATTTGTCGCACGTCGAAATACAAAAGCCAGCGCAAAGTAAATTTCACTTAAAACATATCCCCACGTCCGATGTCTCCTCGGCGGATAACGATTTCATCAGGACATCGATGAATTACTCGCCAAAGACATTGGATATCCCGAGTGAGGCAGCCGAAATGTTAGGAAAAACACAACCCAACATAACACAACAAAGCGAGACGAGCGATCCGATTAGCGAAACACCGGCACAGCAACCAAATATACACAACGCAAAAACACTGTCGCAAGAAGCTCAGAATAATACGACGGTTGTCGCGCAGGATGCTGCTAGTGTTGCTGAAATATCGTCGATACAGTACAACGCGGGCGATGAAGCAGTTCAGAAGAGTGTCGGTGTGGAGCAAAGCATACCCACAACATCCGCTAATATGCAGAAGAATCCACACAGCAGCGTGCAACGCAATCCGGTCGTTGAACTAAGGAAGATGAAAGAATTAGACGCGCTGATACAAAAAAAGACGCAGAAAAAGTCTGAGAAATCGAAAAATGCAATGTTCAAAAGTCGCAAGCGCGAGAACGCGCTTTTACACAAACTAGAAAACCGGCGAATGAAACATCGATCCAGATGGCTGCATATGAAGAACTTGGTGAAGAAACTTAAGCTGAGGCAATCTGAGCGACCTGGCACCAACACGAGAGAGATTATTCTAGCTAGAATGATGGAGATCGACGTTCAAATGCATGAATTAACGAAAGAGAAACTGAAGTTGCACGAAATGCTGCAGAAAGATATATTGGCTGGAAATCCCGCGTCGAATAGCAACTTGAGTTTAAAAATACACGAAAATGATATAAATTCCGTTCGGCCTGGAACGCCACTGACGTTAAAATCAATGTTGATGCATGACAGTACAACGGAGCGTGCAAAATCAAACAAACCCATGTCACCACCGAAACAGTCGTCGAAACAATCGCCGAAAGAGCTGTCAAAACAGTCGTCGAAAGAACCGTCAAAACAGTCGCCGAAAGAGTCGCCGAAAGAGTCGCCGAAAGAGTCGTCGAAACAACCGTCGAAAGAGTCGCAGAAACAGCCGTCAAAACAGCCGCCAAAATCGCCGCCAAAACAGCCGTCGTCTAAGCAGAGAAAAAGAACCATGTCTCACAATTCGGAAGACGAGGAGATTGTGCGTTACACACAGAAGATGAAAACACCTATAATTAGATGGAAGAAATTACCGTGGTTGGGGCAGACAGTTACACAGGACGAATCTGAAGAAGAAGACCGTGAGAAGGAGAACCGGCTTGAGGAAAGAGCAAAAGAGCAGACGTCGCCTTTTATAATACCTAAGAAAGCGAATGATTCAGTCGATGCGTCTGAAAACACCGTTCAAAAGTCTCAACTGAACGCCCCGATAGATCAGGACGAACAGTCAGTCAGTACAAAGGCCGACGTGAAAGCCGATTGCAATATTAATAAGGCTTCGAAGAGTACGACTTGGACGGACAAAAGCGCGGGTGATCAACCAAAGCCACAAGACTCCACCGAGACAGAGACCGATGGTGCGGAACGTTCGATTCGCGACGTCGATAAGAATGGCAACGGTTTAACACCGACCGAGACACCCAGGGCGAGCTCTCAATTGTCGAGTATACTTGTACACAGCACGCCAGAGCCTGCGTCCATTTACTCTGACGACAGTACGTGGGATTCTCTAGTGCAGAACACCGCGTTCGAGCTGCACGAGAAGAGGAAATCGACCGGGCTCGCTCTGCTGGAGGAGTCTTTCAAAAAGGAGCTGGCCCTGTCCCGGAAAATGAAAGCGATCGCGCGTAAGCAGAAGAAGAAGCAGCTGATTGACTTCCTGAGAACTGTTAACAGTTTGACGATGGAAGAAGAGGAGTTGCCCTTGTCCAAATTGTACATCAGGAAATTGCAGCAAAAGCGAGATTTGCTTGATTCGCTCACCCAACCGAAGATCGATACGATCAGTGCGACTATCGACCCGGTGATCATAGAGAAAATGGACGAGGTGATAAACGCCGTGGCGGAGAACAGAGTAGAAGAGCTCTACGAGACTCACTCTAAAACGCAAATTTCCAATGATGTCCCAACGACATCCAACGTTCCCGTCGTATCACAACCTGACAAGCATCAGTTCTACATCGACGCCGAGGCAAACGCCAATGCAGACTGGCCCATCGTAGAAAAAAAAGACGCGGAAAAGATTGCGTCACAACGACAAGACAGCAACGATACGCCCGAGACCGATGTACCAAATTCTGCTTTTGCAATCGTCAATCAGAGCAAGGTGTCCCTTTACGACGAGCGCAACATGGAGCCCGACAGCAGCGTCACACCTCAAGAGAGCCATCATTCTTTGGATTGCGAGCACGCTCGTTCAACGGATATCGCCATCTTGCGAAACTTTGATATCAAGGTATCCGTACCTAAAATTTTAATACAAGATGACTTCAATCTGGGATTGTTGCAGAGATTCAATGACACGCAGAGCAACATTGCCAACAGTGAACTGGTGGGCTCTACCACTAATGAACTTGTAGCTAACGCTGAGAAATTTGAAGGAGACAAGCAGTGCGTTGAAATTCCACAAAGCACTCCGCAAACCACCGAGTCGGCAGTCGTGGAGAGAGATCACATCGAAGAGGAAAGCGGCGCGAAATCGCTCGAAGATCAACACGATACGAATGGTAATAAACCTACCATTGAGACGTGCGAATTGCAGAAGCAAGAGACCACCGATAGTGTGAGAAGCGCGCAACTCGCGCCACGAACGGGCGATACGAAGTCCGAATACTCTGATGCCACCGAGAACGAAGATTCAGGCGACAGCGTCGCTCCTAAGGCGTATGACAAAACAGCGACAACCGATATCGAGCCGAATTCAATTTCCTCAAATTCCGCAACTGCCAAGAAAGATACGGAGCAAAAGAAATTGGATATCGAGTCCGAGCAGCTTTCGAATGATTCAGTCGCTTCTAAACGAGATTATCAAAACGTGAAAAGTTTAGATGCCAAGGAAGAAGACGGAAGAAGCAACTCCGAGAGTAACTCACGTACGTTCGGAGAGATTCAGAATAACGGACAACCCGCCGACAGTCCTGTCCCGGCTAATTCAGCCAGCGAGAAATCGGAGGAATCCAACGAAATGCTCATCGAAGGAAACACTCCGGATCACACGACGTCCTCGTCGTCTAATCTTTCGTTCGATAAATCTATGAGTGCCATGAAAACCACTGAAGTGACCAAGAAGCCTGTCGGTCGTAGAAAATACAAAAAAAATATTACGGTGCTACGGAGAAGCAGCAGATACTCCAACGAGAACATGAAACCTGGTAAAGAGGATGACACTTCCAACAGCAGCGGACAAGACTTGAATGTTCACGAGAAAGATTTGACAACACATCGCAATAGCAAGTCGCCCACGATGCGCGATGAAAGAATCATAAATACGTTGAACACCAAAAAGAATCGAGCCACTCAAAAAGCACAGAACGCGAACACGCGGAGAGCGCTCGTTGGCGTCGAGTCTGAAACCACCGAAGTTGATAATTCGGTGAAATCACGACTCGCCGCAACTGCGGAGTCCACAACATCGAAGGATAAAACCGCGTTAGTTGGGAAGAAAAGGAAACAACATACGCGTTGGGAAATGGTGAATTGCAAAGTAATGTTGACCGACTGCAAGCATACTCTTCCGAAGTCAAATGTCAATTCTGAAGTTCTAAACAGAGTCGGAATCATCTACGTGAATCCTTGCACGCAAAGCAACACTTCGTCGTGTCTAGATGTTGCAACAAATCCTGCTGCAATTCCGGAGAAGAATTCTTCACTTAAAGCGGACAAGCTCGATGAGAAAGTCAAAGCCAAAAGCGAAATCGAAATCATACATGAGAAACCGACGAGCCGAACGAAGAGTAACGATGATGACCACGTTCAAGTATCTACCTCGCATGAAATGGAAGTCGAGGAGCCAGTGAGAACGCAATATACAGTCCACAAAGGTCCTATCTTAGATATCAAGGTAATGATCTGACAAATAGAACTTTTATCACACGCTGTTCTATATAAGGCAGAATAAAAATGACGCTTGACGCTAAATATGACGCTTGATTGTTGTTTGTAGGTTTTCGAGAACTCGTTCCTAGCTGCAAGTGAAGATGGCAAGATATATAGATACAGTCAGACGTCTAATGGGATACTGAATATCTACAAGGGTCACAAGTCCGCTGTCACTTGTGTGCTTCTATACAAGTCGACAGATGCTAACAGTGACTATATGTATTCTGGTTCCCTAGATGGCACGCTACGTTGTTACAACATAACGGTAAGCTTTGTTACATTAGACACCAGATAATTTCTTACTTTTGTACACCGGAAAGCTAACAAGTTGCCTTTTAGAGTGGCGCATTGATGAAGACTCCGGCACAAATACAGAGCCCGATTCAGTGTATGGATGAAGCGTGGGGAATGATTTTTATTGGCACTAAATCTGGGCATGTTTCGCGTTTCAATATTAAGGTAAATTGTTCTTTGCTTCTGCTATACTTTAATTCTTAATACTAACTCACTTGAAATTTCTACGTGAAGATGTGTACACACGTTGGATATTTTTATTTATATACAATAATTATAATCATACATCAATACTTGTAATTGTTTTTATATGTAATTTATATATTATTTGCACATATAATTCGCTTGCAGGCTGGTGCAATTAAAGGAGCTAGTATACCGTTTTCGGATGTGTCTGTGCTTGCACTTAAAGCGACAAATGAGGGTCCACGAAGAATCCTCATTGTAGCATCGCGAAATCAACCAATAAGTATACGAGATGCGCAGACTGGCTTGTTTCTTCGTACAATTGGCGGTCAAAAAACTCATACGGTTTATAGTTTGATGCGCCATCATAATTTGATCTATTGTGGGACGAGTAGTACGTCGATAAATGTTTTTGACTTTACGGTAAGCGACAACTGTCTCTTTAGCTTGCCTTCTGAAATAAGAATACTTGAATCATATCTGAAATATGATTGCAGTTGGGTGAACAAACGATTCAATATGAGGCTGGTGTTGGCATTGTATGTATGCGACTTTACGAACAATTGCTGTTTGCTGGCTGTTACGACGGCAACATTTATGTTTTCAATACAAGAGTAAGTGACGTATTTTTGTATATATCAGAAAGTACACATAACAATGTCATCAACTGTGATTATATCATATATACATCATCCGTATTTTATTCTGTATATTAATCTGTACATTAATCCGTATTTTAATCTGTTTATAGAATCACAAGTTAGTGTGTAGTATACCCGGCCCAGGGAACATGTTATTAAGTATAGAAGTTGTAAATAATAAGGTATTTATGTATAAGCTCAAATTTTGTCTTCTATATACCTATAACTAATATATCACAATTTATTAATAAATATTTTATTAAGTGTTTCATTCTCAAAAATAGCATATAGGATCTACGTACTAATCATATTTGCTGATCGTGTCTTTTTTTCTTTTTCAGATTATAGCAGGTAGTAAAGACAAGCGTTTGCATTCGTGGCAAATGCCACCTCAAGTGCGTGCCTTGCTTTAGTGTAACATAGTGCACGCTTAGGAGGAAACAAAAAATTTTTATTTCGAAAATCTATTTCAAGTATAATCAATATTGGAAAACGGCCAGTCAATGCACAATTCGTGTGGAATGATATTATGAGCAAAATCCGTTAGATACTTCAAAGCAACTCTAGCTAAGCAACATTTAAGTATTATAAATAATGTCATTGATTTCGTGTATAAGAAAAGAAAACGCTTTGAAGTCCTCATAAAGCGTCTAATGGATTACATCCTAAATGATACTAAATACAAGCGATACTAAAGAAATGAGCAAAAAAAGATTCATAAATGTCATTTCAAAATTTATAATTACCTAAAAAATGTATGTATACATTCCAGCTTCTTCGCTATAAATAGCATTATCTACCAATACTGTTAATACTATCATTATATTTTACGAGTTCATTTTATTTATGTTTTTATTTTGTGCCTAACAAATATGTGATGTAAGATGCTAAAATAAAATAGTCATTTATAATTGTTATAGCGCGTAAAAACTATTTATAGTGGAGAAGTAGTGATTTCAAAATTATTTGTTACCAATTATGTGTATGCAATAGAAGAAATTACACCACAGAATGTGTGAAGTGTACAATTGTAAAAAGTTTAGAAAGAACTTATACGAAAACGAAGCATTATGCAATTTATAATTTGCGAAAATATTTAGTACATTTTTACGATTCTTTATTCATTTAAGAGCATTATAGCATTCATACATGAAAATTAAACAATCGAATTTTGTTTTGACTGATATTAAGCTGATTAAAACACACGAGACTGGTAAAAGTCATACATACTTTTGATGATTTACATAAACATCTATTACACAATATTGTTGTTCATTATTGTACCTCAAAAAGATCTGTTGTACTCTGTGTTAGGTATATATTCTCAAAAGCATTGTACCATCTCTATTATTTTTATGTTCTTTAATGTTTAGCTTGTGCTACATACACACATATACTTACAGAGACCGGCATGTCAAATTTAATTACTACTTTTCAACTTCCTATTGAATAATTGCAGTTATTACATAATTATGTAAAGATTGTGTATAGTTTAACTATGTAATATCATAGATCATTTATATATGGTTACGATATTATATATGATTGATATATATACATACTTACATATTGAAGTAATTACACGGTCTCTGTACAATATAAATAAATGCATTAGAAATGGAATCAAGTGCATTTTAGGTAATATCGTTAATTAACTCCAGCGTATTTCAACTATTATGGTTTGAAACGTAACAACATGTGTAAGTGAAACCTTTGTGTGCCATAATTGAATTCTGTATAAATAAAATCCGAAACATAACAATGATGACAATTCAATTGGGACTTTCTAAAACATATCTGAAATTTTTATGAGCATTTCGAAATATAATAGCTACCTAAATTGGGTTACAATAAATCTTTTACAAATGCGCAGTGAGCATTAATCTATGATTTTTATGAATGTATATTGCTCGATTTTACTGAGATATATAAATATTGAATTGAAGGGAAGATGCATATATACACGTTAAAGTTGATTCCATCGCTAGTTGCAATTTAATTTGTGCTTTATTGTTATGTACATTATGTGGTATGATAAGCAATCTTATTTATTAATACAGCAGTATAATTGACAGTATAATTTAAAGGAAATCTATACCAAATTAACCGAAGAGTCGACGATATCAGTGTTTATGCATACGCACGTATATTAGGTGAAAGGAAGTAAAACTATTCACGTTATTACATTCATATCTTGTACTTATAATTCAATGGCGTGTGCAAATTTAGAATTTAAAGCAAAATGATTATTCAATTCTATGTTATATATATATATATATATATATATATATATATATATATA